TAAATATTTATTGTATTTTACTTATTCATTCACTTATTTTTCAATTTGACCAGAAAGAGACAGAGGGTGAGAGTGAGAGAGAGAGGAAGTGAGAAAGTAAGCCACCAGATTCAGGACTTGAACCCTGGTCGGCCATGTGGGAGTGTCCAGCGCCTTAACCACCATGCCACCTGCTGGTCCCCAATCCCTACTGTTTCTAAGAGAAGTACAATGCTTTTAGGGTCTTTTTTTTTTTTTTTAATCTATTCATTTCTTCTTTTTTTTTTTCTTTCTTCTTCTTCCTTATTTTATTTTATTTTTTATTTTTTATTTGCTATAGGGATCATATGCTCACCAGAGAGAGAGAAAGGAAAAGCAAGAAAGCAAGTTACCAGGTCTGGGACTAAAACTGCCAACCCTGTAGGAATCCAGCATCCCAACTACCATGTTACCTGCTGACCCCATCTGTCCATTTCCTCCTTAAGTGAGAGAGACACAGAGAGAGCACCCCCAACAGGACCTTAGCAGCACAATCCACTCCAGTGTCAGCCAACCCTAGATCATGAGCAGCTCCTTCATATTCAGGGACGTCTCCAGACGTGAATGGGAAGCCTTTCCACGTGGGCCAGCCTCTGAGAGCATCGCAGCTCACGGTGTGCCGCCGCCCAGCCCCGGCAACGCTCTTATGGTCTTACCGGTGCATTACACTGACTTGGTGTGTAAGTTATGATTCTGATTTACACTGTCCAGTTTCCTCTTCAGGAGTGAGGTGACCAGTCTGTGCCTTCTGTGGGACAGGTCCTGTCCATGCCTTCTCTTTCTCTGACAATTATAGGAAAAATGTTATCTGTGTCAGGGCAGTAAACTGGAACAAGAAAAACCAGGTCCATGGGAGAGGAGGTGGCTTCACTGTTTGGACAGAGTTATTTTCAACACGGGACACTGCCATACTGTTCATCTCAGGCACTTCCTGGGCTGTGAGAGGCTGCGCTTTTCGTCAGCCCCAGAGGTATTGGCGGATGTTTTCCACAGTGAACTGGAGGAGAGAGGGGTCCCCTTGTTCACTGGAGTTCAATTGCCTTGGTTGGATAGCATGACTTCAAAGAATGGTTTCCATCACAAATTCATAGTATCTGTGTGTTTCCCACAGGAATGGTGGGGTTTCCCATCTCTACTATTTCCTCAGTGTTCATGAGACTACGGAACTACCCACTAAAGTCCACAATTCTGTGGTGGAGTCCCATGGAACCCTGAGAGGTTACAATAAACACAGACACGTTTGCACAAACCACCGAAGGCATGAGCTGATTTTCATCAGGGACTCCCAGTCCTTGCAGATGGTCCAGACTCTCCCATAAGGCATGCTCACCATTCATGATTGCGTTTCACAAAAAATGAGACTGAGGGGCTGGCAGGTGGCATGGTTAAGGTGCTGGACTCCCATATGGCCGACCACGGTTTGAGTCCCAGACCTGGTGGCTTGCTTTCTCGCTTTCCTTCTCTGTCTCTCTCTGGTGAAATTAAAATAATAAATAAATAAAATTAAATAATTATTTAAAAAGTGGGACTGAGGGGAACCAGCAGTGTAATGGCTATGTTGCAGGACTCCCACCTAGTCGACTGCGGTTCGTGTCCCGGACCTGGTGGCTTAAAACTCACGCCGGGCGCGTGTGCGTGCGTGCCCAAGATCCCGAGAGGAGAATGGAGGAGAAGGGATTGCGGCGTGACCATCCCCCCTGGGGGGTGACTGCTCGCTTTCTGTCTCTATGTCTCTCTCTGTCTATCTGGCGAGCGCAAGTGCCCTATAGCGGAAACAAAACAAAACAAAACAAAACAAAACAAAACAAAACAAAACAAAAAATCCTTTCCAAAAAGTGGGACTGAGCTGTCACACTGGTTATGACATCAACAGGCAACTTCACTCTATCAACGTTCAGTGTCTACAGTTGGCCTTTTTTTTTTTTTTTTTTGAGAAAGGTTTTGCTGTAGGGCGCGTGCACTTGCCAGCCAGCCAGAGAGAGAGATATAGAGACAGAAAGCAAGAAATCACCCCCCAGGGGGGATGGTCACACCGCAATCCCTTCTCCTCCATTCTCCTCTCGGGATCTTGGGCACGCACGCACACGCGCCCGGCGTGAGTTTTAAATCACCGGGTCCGGGATGCGAACCGTGGTCGACTATGTGGGAGTCCAGCAACATAGCCATTACGCTAACTGCTGGTTCCCTACAGTTGGCCTTTCTAGGTAAAGAGTGTTCGCATCACCCGTGGGGTATACAGTTCACTCTGCTAATAATAATTTTTTTTTTAATTAAAAAATTTTAATTTGGGACCAGCAATTAGCGTAATGGCTATGTCGCTGGACTCCCATGTAACCAACTGCAGTTCGAATCCCAGACCCGGTGGCTTAAACTCATGCTGGGTGCATGTGCGTGTGTGCCCAAGATCCTGAGAGGAGAATGGAGGAGAAGGGATTGCAGCGTGGCCATCCACCCTGGGGGGTGATTTCTCACTTTCTATCTGTTTTCTCTGTCTTTCTGGTGAGCGAATGTGCTCTATAGCAAAAACCTCTCCAAAATAAATAAATAAATAAAAATAAAAATTTCATTTACTTATTTTTATTTTTAATTTGACCAGAGAGGGGGAGGGAGGGAGGGAGGGAAGGAGGGAGAGAGGAGAGAAAACAGACCCCTAGTTCTGGGACTCGAACCATGGCTGGTCACGTGGGAGTCCAGCACCCTTAACCACCACACCACCTGCCAGCTCCCATCTGCTAATAATTATTACCAGTATTTATTATGTACTTGTACCAGTCCCGATTTCTCCCCATAACCCCATCCTGTCCGTGCTATTAATATCCTCATTTTGCAGATGAGGAAAGTAAGGCTCAAAGAGAGGAATTCATTTGCCCGATGTCACAGGAAGTACTGGAATTAGGGGTGCAACCCAAGTCTCTGTCTTACTGGTGAGAGGATGGGGGTCATGGGGGCTGTCACTGATCTTTGAGAAAGTGGTCGTCATTTTCCGAGAGGGATCGGAAGGGAGACAGTAATAAAGCTTAATGGTTAAGGGTGGTGGTTTGGGGGCCAGCAGGGGTGGTGTAGTGCTTATGGCACTGGACTCCCACACTGCTCAATGCAGTTCAAGTCCCAGACCTGGCAGCTTGAAAATCATGTTGGGCGTGTGTGTGCATGTGTGTACCCCAAACCTCAGAGAATAAAGGAGAAGGGATTGTAGTGTGGCCAACTGATGCCCCCCCCCGGGGGGGTGATTTCTCACTTTCCCTCTCACTGTCTCTTCTGGCAAGGGGCACTTGCCCTATGCAAAAACCTTTGGAAAAAAAAAGGGTGGTGGTTTGGAATTGGATAGATCTTCGTTTGAATTTTAGTTCCAATGCTTTCTGGCTCTGGGAGTTTGGCAGACTAATCTCCCCTCTCAGAGCCTCACTTTCTGAATCTGTAAATGGGGATAACAATAGACATTCCCCTCACTGGGGTTTTGTGAGGATTAAATGAGAAGATGCCCTGAACAATGCTTGGCCCAGTGCCTGGCACATCATGAGCACTCGGAATTCAGGAGCTGTTATTCTAACAATGAAGATGATTATTATTGCTGGACCACACTGCTCCCAGAGGGTTCCGATATCCGTGGGGGAGCCGCACTGTCAGTAGGCAAGGTTACATAATTCCCCAGGGGGGTGACGCTTCCCTGGAGGCCCTGGCTCCCCATGGAAGAGGTCTGAGACTTTTTCTGAGGCCCTGGTCTGCAGCAGACTAGGAACCCGGGAATCTGGGCTTGACGCCTAAGAACTCAGAGCCTGACCCCTGCAGGCCTTCCCCTGCGCTTCTTCTGGGTTTCAGAATACACGCAACTCCCCTGCCCTGGTACCTTGGCCTGTTTTGTGACTAGGTCTCCTGGCTCAGTCGGCGAATACTGCTTCTGTTTGCCCTCCACCCTGCTCCCTGCCTCCACCTGATGTGCGCGCTGATTTCCTGTTTTCCGGAGCCTCGGGCTCCATCCATCCATCCCTCCAGGCTGCTGCGCAGAACGGAGACTTAACACTTCCCCACGCTCTGGCCTTGGGTCTTAAGCCCTGTCTTCCTCTCTGCTGGCGACCCCCAGTGTCCCCTGGGAGCACATTTGTTCAGGCTTTGGTCGCCCCCTCGCATCCTGGCCCCACCTCCGGAACCCCCTGCCCTGGTGGTGGATGTGGGGGGACCTCCGGCACCAGCCACGTCCCCAGGACAGCTGCAGTCCGGGAATGGGCGAAGGCTCAAATGCATTCTCTCTGGTCACTTCCTCCCCAGCTGGGCCGGGGTTATCGGGAGGCGTAAGACCCCATCCCTACAGGAGCGGAGGGCACAGCCCGCCTCCTCATTTCCGATGCTGGGAACGCTTCCCACCCATTCCACCCCACCCCACCCCACCCCACCCCTGGACAGCTGCCCCCACTGCAGTCCCTTTTCCTCCATTCTCCTCTTAGGATTTTGGGCATGCACACACATGTGCCTGACAGATTTTCGAGCTGCTGGGTCCAGGACTTGAACCACAGTCAACCATGCGGAAGTCCAGCACCTTTACCACCACACCACCCTCCTGGCCCTGAACAATCCACCTCTCAAAATTCGACACCACCCCCCCGCACTGGCTCCCAAAAGAAACTCTGGGACCCCAAGTGGGCAAGAGAGGAGGAGGAGAAACAGGTAGCGAGTGCCAAGGACTTAAGTCATCTGCAGACTTGGAGCCTCTGAGAAGGGTCATGACCCCCAGCACCCCATCTCACCCCCGCCCCCTCCTTCCTCTCTCCGCAGCCGCGCGGCCCCTTTAAGCTCAAAGCCGGCCGGTCCTCAGTGGCGGCGCGCCGGGAAGGCGGGGGGGGAGGGGGGG